TTCTTGTGTCCACATGTGGTCTAGACTTCTGGTTTCAATTCCTTCTTTTTTAATTTTATTCACTTGAAGTTTGCTTGAGTAAAGCAAAGAAAAATCACTCCTAATTTGTGTTTCTTTAATATGGGTCTTTTTTTAGAGTGAGCTACAGAAGCATCTCTGGGCTTGGGCTGTTTTGGACTATTGTATGGAAGGGTGACTTGAAGCCACCATGATTCTTTGCTCAGGCAGAGCTTCCGTCAAGGGAAGGGTAAGTATGCAAAGGGGGGTCCTGAGGCACTTGAGAAGTCAGGGCCCAGACAACAGGCAGAGATTCACTCAGACCACAACAGACTAAAAGGATCAGAAGGCGCTTTAATCCTGGAGAGCAGGCTTCCTCGAGACTTCCCACACTGAAGTTAAAAAAAAAACAAACCCCAAAAAACAACAAACAAAACTCCATGTTTCTTATATGGCAGCACCACCATCAATTTAGACTTCTATTTCCAGGAGATGTCACAACTTGACTTTCCTCCTCCTTTCTTTAAACCTGATGCTATTGTAAATCTCCAAGCCACTGGGCTTTATCCGCTCTCTGATGCAATCCCCCATGAAAGGTGGGCGCCAGGCCCCTCTCCCCCCCAGCTCCCACTCCTTCATTGTTCTCCCCGAGGAGGAAGGTACTTTCTCTGAACTCTCAGACCCTTTGTGGGAAGATCTGTGAAGCCTAAGGCCACAGAGCAGCTCCACTGGGGCCTCTCACAACCCAGTCATCCCTTTTCTTCTAATCTTTGTGCTGCATGTCCCAAAGCTGGTTGGCCTGCAATCTGAGGAGACAATTGCCTTTTTGTGTTTTATACATTTTATTCATACATTTTCCCCCCAACTTTGAAATGACAAAAGCCCAATTCTATGGTTTTCCATTACACAGCATCCTACAGGTATGTATAGTCTACAAAGAATATTATGGAGTTTCTCTTTGTCCCCTGTCACACGAGGGATAATGGATTGGGGTTCCAGTGACTGGATGTACTGGACTAGCAGTGCACCAGAGTCTAGTTATCCTGGTGACAGGGTCAAGGGGTCAGAAAGGGAGGGGCGTGTGCTAAGGCATGTAAATAGATACACACAGAGAGAAAGGAAAGCAAGACATTTACAAAGAATCCAAACCTTTCAAGTTCCTTCATCTCCCAGATACTGAAAGATATCTGCACAGACGCTATTGCACTCTAAGGCTTTGCTGTACCCTGCAAATACTTACAATTGGATATGGTGAGATATACAATAACCATTCACAGAGCTCTCTCCTTGTTAATCACTGAGACAATGCTTCAAAACCTTTTATAAAAAGGCAAGAATACATACAGAAAAAAAGATGGCAAAATTTTATGAAAAGCAACTGAGTTTAAATGGTGACATGCCTACATACTGGCTATTAAACAGGATGCTCTGGCACATGGGGACTGTATGACCTTAGCATCCGTCATCCTGCCTGTGGCATCCAAGCAGCCCCTTGCCACCTGCACGGATGACTTTTCGGAGACAGTTGAGATTGTAAGCAAACGCCCCCATTTCCTCGTCCTCTTTAAAAACAAAAAAGGAAAAAAATATTCTGGGCCACTCACTGTGGAGGAATTCCTATTTCTACTCCCAAGCAGAACTCCTTGTCACTGGGTTCAGAAGTGGTCACCCCCCAGGATATACAATTTTCTAAGACTCAGTGAAAACATAGCAGGTGCCATTGGTCATACACCAGAAAGGATAGCGCTAACACAGGAATGGGAGAGAAGCCCCGGGTCTCTAAGCGTACAGATAAGGAGTTGTGCTTGGGACCAGAAACGAGATCTCTTATGTGACGACAAACATCTCTTTCCATTTTCTTTTGCTTGGTCCATTTGCACAGGCTCAAGATAGTTGATGGAGTGTCAGGTGAAAAAGGTGGTGGAGCTTGGGATTTTCCGTTTCCCTTGAAGAGTTAAGACTTGCTACTGGCTGCCCTATAATTGGTGCTGCCCTCTGCCGGCTGCTACTCTAGTGGGGTTAGGTCTTCTGTAGGCAAGGGCGGGTGGAGGTGGGTCGGGGGAGGGGAGAAGACCAGTCCTGAATAGGACGCTCCTGTTGATAGACATAACCCTTCTTCCCTTCCCCTCTGTTTTTCATTACCTGGTGTATGTGACATCTAAATTCTACTCCTAAACTGGACAATCTGAGATTTCTCACATCTCCATATTTAAGGCAAACTGATCTGTGAGCCCACGGGCAAAACTAACCAAGCATGAAGCCTTATGAGTCCATTTTTTTAACAGTATGTGCCAAATAGAGAGGAAAACCTGATTCCTGTCGTAGTGAGAAAAGGAAAAATCCATCCAGTCAAATGATTCAGGAGTAAAGCGTGTAGCCCTTCCAAAAGCTGCAGTTCGAAGCAAACGATCTCTCTCAGAGAACTTATTTGAGGCGCAGATAGATGAGAAAAGAACGCACTGTAACCAGTCTCAGAATTGTAAGCCCTTGTAAAGAGAGGAGTTAGGAGGAGGCTGCGTTCCTTTAGGAGAGACACCAATTTGACGATGGGAGACAAGAAGGAGGAGAAGTGAGGCTAGGAAGGATTGTGGCTTTTTGTAATAGCAATTGCAAAGCTTCTGATCTAAGGACATAGTGTGGGAGGCATTTCGATTTACTTTATCAATCTAGTTTTCTTGCTCGCTTTAGCAGCACACTACACTCTCTTTGCCCCAAGTCACTGACTTGAAATTAAAAAAAGGGCATCAAACCAGTGGGAGATACAAGGATTGGCCGCAGCTGCCTTGCCCTACAGGGGCAGTGTATACTCTCAGGGCATCGCCACTGTCCGGTTGTCAAAATGGTTGGTTGTTCAGTAAATTCAACTTTTTCAAGGAGTGAGCTGGAAGCCTTAAGGAATAGATGCGTACAAGTGATTAAAACATCAAAATCTTTAGCGCTATCAGACTTGACTGAGTAGATATTGCTGAGGAGGCTCCAGCTGTATGAAATGAAATTTAAAAGAGGGAAGGAACACTCCTTCAAGCAGCAAGGAACTTGGCAGCATTTTCAGATGGTCCGCCACCAATATAAGGGGTGGACGTCGCCTTCTGAATGCAAAATAGCAAGAAGTAGGTCACCATTTCTTTTCCTTTCTGAACAAATATTTTAACCACCTCACCTGACTTGAGACACATTTAATTGCATTTTAAAAGGCTACAATATTATCTTGACACAAGGAAGCTTCCAGATAAATGAAATTGAGCAACATTTTCCTTTTTAATGTTAATACTGAATATGCTGCATGTGCAAAGTAATTACTGCCAGATGATTAGGAAATCAGGGAATTTCCTCTTTAACAACTCCACATAGAAAAATACCTCTTTTTTTTCCTGTTGGAGTGGGCTTGGGGTAGGGGTAGGGAATCTCTAAATAATGGCTCTTCAAACACTTCAGTAGACCACTGATAAGTGAGAGTTAATGATCTAATCATTTGCTCTGGTTTTTCAAAGAAAAACAAACAAACAAAAAATACCAACCCAAACCCCACAAACCAACACACCACCAAACTGGTTTTGTTGATGGAATGGAAGCAGTAAAGAAGCTTTTAGCAATTTTCTCTGATTGCTTAGTGGGCAGCTGCAATGCAGCAGCAGTAGAAGCAACGTACTGAAACTGCTCCAAATTCAGAGATTTAAAAATTTTCTGCCGGGTCATAAAGACAGTGTTTTCGAGAAGCTGTCTATTAGGGGAATAAAGCGATGGCTTCTTTGAGAACTAGGACGGAGAGTCCCGGGTGCAGGGATGGATCAAGGGCAGCAAGATGGTTAATGTCTCCATCTGCTTGATGGCAAGAACCATAGCTGCCCGTGTGCTTCTCAGAGGATGCAGAAAGCGACTGAAATCAGAGGACAAGTGGTAGAATGCTTGGGAATTCTGGGGCCATATCTATTTAAATTGGCACTGGTTTTTCTCCTCTTTGACTTACCCCCTCTTTTTGAACATGGTGGCTGGCTTAAGGAGATCTAGTCTCAAAGGGCAAACAGGGTTTTCCTAGTAGAGGGAGGGAAGTTTCCAATTCCCATGTGTTAGCTGTATTGTTTGTGCTTCAGTGGAAAAGAGGTAGAGTGGGCACTTTGATACCAAAAAGAGCCCGGATTTTGGTCAGTACCATTATGGGAATGACAGTCTTGCCTTGGCATCAGTTAGATTTAAGTCAAGCCTAACGCGGCCCTAATTGACTCTTAGATCACTGTTGAGCTCATCTCTCTTTTGGTTGTTTGGTCATCCTGTTGTAGGGGCCAAACAGAAGTAGTTCACTCAACAGCTTGTTAGTAAATTGCAGACTCATCTTTTCACTGACAAAGGACAACATGGGCGGGGAAGGAATTAGCATCATTTAATAATAGTAGGTGGAGGAGGGGAGGAAGGTTGACAATGTAAAAGTATACAAATACCTTCTCTGTTTGGTCCTTTAAGAGGAGCTGTTCAGCTCAGAACACACCCTGCACATCCTGCCAACGCACAAAGTGACTGAGGCCATCTAAACTACATGAAGGAGAACTGATGTTATTCCCTCCCACTCCCAAGAATCATAGGTTATTATGACAACTTCAGGCCCTCAAACTCTAATGAAAAACATTCTAGTCTATCATTGGCAAAGAGTCTGAGCACTCCAAGTCCTAATCTCTTGTACTGGAAGAATGTGACATCATGGAAGGGTGGTGAGATGGGTAATGCCTCTAAACCAACAAGGAAAGATGATTCTCCTGTGCCAGGGGATATAGCAAGAGGAAGTAGAAACCACAGATGGCCTCCAGTACATCCCTGGCTACTGGAGCTCTGGGAGTCAGCACTGGTCCAAGCTGTGCTCTTGCAGATTATCTGTTGCCCTGCCAACTGATATTCACTCCTGGGCCTTCTATGGTTCAGTGAGTATCGAATGAACTAGAAAAGCAAAAAGATCTTTTGGCTTGTAAAACTGAACAAATCCATAATGAAATGAAGGACCCAAAGGCATTTAATTATTGAACACATGAAAGGAAGTATATTTAAAAAAAATGGTCAAACTTTCCTGTTATCATTTGAGAGGAATTTACAGGGCTGTTATAGATTATTCTTTTGGAATCGTTTCAGTTTATAGCAAATGCCTAAACTGGTTTCTTCATTGCACCGTATTTTTTCTCTTAAAATGGGTGCTTTAAAACAATTACATACATATTAAAAATCCTCATTGCTTTGCTTAATTAAAACATTAATACTCTCAGACAACACAGATCTGAAATGGTGAAACCAGCAATTCCCCCTCCCACCTTACAACAAATTAAATTGAGACAAAATTACAAACACATTTCACTACATGATTATTATTAATAAAAATCAGGGTGGTTTGCTTTTTTTCTTTAATATATAAAGTTGCCCAAAATGCAAGGGATGTGCATAGGTTTACAACTTAGTCATAATAGCATTTTATTCTTATTCCCCTGGGTGTGCCCCGTGAACGGAATGTACTTTGCTGTAGATTACAGATATTTTTTTTTGTCCAACACAGACACACCGACAGCATAAATGCTTGCGACTGTCCACATGCATTAAGAGTCAAGACCCAACTTCAAATCTCTAAAAGGTTTACAGGGTGCTTCAAAGAGACAGTATCACATTATCTGGATGTTACATAAAAGGACTTAAAAAAAATACTACTCTAAAAAGAAAGAGAGAAAAAAGGCCTTTAAAAATTTATGATTGTTTTGTAATCACTAGACTAATTATTTCAAATAAATAAAGGAAAGAATGATGTTCCAATTCATAAAATCAGACTCTAAAAACAATGTAGTGTTCCACCCCCAGTCAAGGTAACAGAATTATTTTTTTATTATTATTAAAATAGATTATAGAAAGCAGCATCTATTTTTGTGCAGTTTTTAGGGGCCTTGGAAATAAAAAGCTATGATTTCCAAAAATATAACATTCCAAAGGATACATTTAAAGATACACTTTATTAAAGTTTAGGAGAACTGATTAAAAAAGATACTGTCTCTTTAAATTAGTGTGTAATTGTTTTTCTCCTCCTATCTATTCGGACATGACAATAATTATAAATGTAGGTCACACTAAAACTAGGTAGTCTCTAGGGACCACGACCTGCTGACACAAGGCTGATAACAAAGAGGCTTTTCCATGTATGAGGTGGTTCCCAGGTATGCGTCAGATATCTGGGGAGAGGCCTAATAGACCCAGGAGACTGGGACCCACTGTGAGGCTGTGCACACGAGCTCAATGGCTTCCTCCAGATGTCTGATTGTTTCATCAATTTCATTGTTGATAATTGTGAGATCAAAGTAGTGTGCATATGTTCTTTGCAAGATGTCAGACTCCTTCTGCAGGCGCTGAAGAGATTCATCCTAAATTGTAATGGGATGGAAATGGGGTGGGGGGGAAGGGAGAGCAAACAGAAAAGAAAAGTCAGTTGGATCTTGTGTCTTTTCGCATTTCTGTTTGTCCCAGTGTCAGAAAAAGCCAAAGTCAAACCTGGATGGGCTGCATACAGGCATGAGGCCAAGCCTGCTTCCTGACAGAGGAGATAGTGTTCCCTGAGATAGTGCGTTACATAACTATGGCTTGCTACTGAGACGGCTCAACATGCAACACGAGGCTCCACGACAAACCAGACAAACCATGGAAACAGACATTCCTCAGCAAACATGCTGCCCACATCCAGGTCTTAGCTGTGCCTGTCCCAGACCCAGATGGGGTAAGGCCCTGTGAAGTGTTGGTAACCAGTACCTACTGCTTGTCTTTCCTCATTCTTCTATCCCAGGCTGACAAGAAGACCTGTGGCCTGCTCTCCAGTCACTCTATCTGACCCAGGACACCACTGATGAGGTCAGAGCTCTTCCATCCCTTTCCTCAGTTCTCTACTTTCCCTGGGCCAGGCCCCAGAGCTCGGCTGCATTCACACTGATGAGCTCTTGCCACAAATTAAATTGTATTTTCTCCATTCCATTAAAAGGTTCAACATGTTCCAGAAATTCAATTATATATAATGGCCCTCAATTGCAGAGAATGCCAAAGGCAAAAACTACAAATAATGAATGGAATGGGGCCATTTCCAAAGCACAACACAGCACCCAGTATCTGATGAGTTCCAAAAAAAACTGGCCTACACTAGAAAATGGTGAGCTCTTCACAGGTACTCCAACTCTTGGTGGAAAAAAAGCGGGAGTAAAAGTAGATACTAAATTCTGGGGAACTTCGCTGCAGTAAAAGACTTTTCCTAAACTCTTATAAATCACTGTAGAACTCTCAGCAAGAATGTCCTCTCTCATCAAATATATCCTCCAAGAGTAGGAGGGCAAGGATCTCTGATGGGTCATGAGAAGGGATACCTCTGCCTCTTTTCACAAGTCAGATTTTGTTAAACTTTCAATGTCCGAGTTTAAATTTGAAATGGGGGAACTTTGAAAATCAGATTAATCCTCCTCACTCCTAACACTGTTGGGCTGAGTCTTGAAGACAAATATAGTATTTATCTAACTTGATCACTGCATTTTTAGACAGGTAATGCTGGGGTTATATTGTAGTTGTTGGTGTGTTGTGTTCCATCTCCACCCCAACAGTGTAACTTTCTAATGCACTAGTTTCTTATGTGCATATTTTTATTATTTTTTATTTCTTATGTGCATATTATTTATGTAGCTGCATTATATAAGTAAAAAAGGTAGTATCTTTCTCCCCAAGTAAAATATAAACATATATCATGTGCCCTGTTTTCACGGTGCTCCAGCTTGTTGCCTTACATTATAGAACAGAGTAGAACTGCCTCAGAGAGGGTTTTCAAGGCTGTAAACCTTCATGGAATCTCTCATACTTGGTGGGTTTTGGTTAGCTGACTAACATTTAGATCACTATACCACCAGGACTTTTTTGTATACTGTAAGTGCTTAATACTTGTTGTTGGAAGAATAAGTGCTGGTCTTACTCTGGCCATTACAAAATTTCATGAATATTAAATCTATAATCAGGAGACAGAGGTATCCTGGGGGACCAAGGATCAAACATTAAAGACACGGTATCTTCAGGAGCTTAGGAGCACTGTGGCTGGCACTGCCTTTGACTTCTACTTTTCAAGATGGCCCATCCATTATTTGTAAAAGACACTTTCTACTGAATCTGATATGATGCTCTGGGGAAATCTAGGTTCTGTGGGGCATCTCTCTGGAAAGGGGACCAGAGTTGAAAGAAGAAATACCAAGTGAGGAATTTCCTGCTTGCTCTGTCATCTTCTATAGGAATTTCAAAGCCAGACAAGACATGCTTTGAATATTAGGTGTTAACTAATACAGTGTAGATTAAGACCACAGTTAACAATCACCTTCTTAGGTCTTGACAGCATACCTTCTGTTGGCACTAAAAAGCATAGTCTTTTCACTGTGATTTTATAATGAATACAAGGCAAAAATTTCCATTTAAGGAAAAACAATATATATACACCCAAAGATAGGAGTGCTTCCTAGTGGTATGAGAAAGAACAACGCTAGAAATAACTCTCAGACCTGGGCTTCAAATACCACCAAGAGAGTCTATTATTTGTCAGAAATCTGGGCTGATGAAAACAGTCAGGAACATTTATGGCTAAAAAACATCATATTTTACATATAGTTTTCTTTAGAGAAAAATAGACTTCCCTCTTAGGCATCTCATAAGACGAAGCTGTATTTGTCAGTTATTTCCTCACAACAGATTCACACTTATAAGTGAACAGGGTTTCACTCAGTGGGGGGGGGAAGCCTTTATTCTAATAGCAAAAGCAAGGCTTAGGGGGAACAAAATGTCTACATTCTAATTCTATTAAAAGAAACAAGGCTGTATTTCATAGCCTCCTAGCTGGTACTTACAGGCAATTTTCTGCACCATTTTGGCAGCTATGGAAAATCAGTAAAAGAGCAGGGAAACAGGCAAAAACAAAAGCAAACAAACAAAGCAAAGATGATAATTCATGAAAAATACACGGCAATAAAAGGATAAAAGCTAAATGCAATGTGAAGTCTAAAAAATGTATCGAATCTGGTGGGTAAATGGAATTTTACAAAGCAACAGATCTCTTGCAAATGAAATGACCAAAACTAATTACTGAAAATATGAGTAACATAATTAAATCTACACATTTAATCTTCCTCATAGCTACACAAAATGAACATTTCAAAGACTTTATTTCACTGTGGGTGACAAGGACGTATGCCCTTGGGTGAGTTCATGTCAGTGTTACATGTCTACCAAACAGAACAAAGAGTATATTGATGGTTTCTATAACCTACAAGAGTAGTAGTCTCCAGGACAATTTGTATAGAAGTCTTTTCTTAACTAATGAGCACTTAGTACATTTATTAGACACATGGTAACTAACTCTTATCTACCCAATAATAGAAGGCCTTCTAAGTAAACCAAGTATGAGATGACACCTCAACCCTCCGAGGCAGCATCTCTGTGGCAGCTGCTGATCTGAGTTGGGTTGACAGGTGATAGAGCTCATTTCCAGATTTCGTAGACTCTGGGATCATGGATATATACTTCTACATGAATACACCTTTTTGGGGGGTTCTACTCCAGGAGCTACGTAGGGGAACCAGGGCAGCTGGGTTAAGGTCATGGCTGCCATATATGTCTCTTTGAGCAAAGCAGTCTTTGGCCACTTCAGCCCATAGCTGGACTAGGGGATGGGTGAGTTGTTGTCACTGCTTTCTTGGTACTACCCCATCAGGAAAGGGAGTATCCAGGTAGCATTGGAGGGTACAAGTCTTTTGGAAAGCTTACTGTCTTGGAAACATGAGGGGGTTCAACATTCAGTTTTATTTAATAAGGGCCACAGGCCACTTTGTGAACAATTCTATTTTGTACCCTCTTTCACTACAGCAGACTTCTGCTACAAATGTGATGTGCAATGGCACATGCTTCAGACTCCTATAGGACTGAAGCTGGAATTTTCCTCAGGACTCTGATCTCTGAAGACCCATACTGCCTCTATTGCCCAATTCCTAATACAGGAAAAGCACCTCTAGCTCTGGACCTCTTACTTTATGGCATCCACAACAAGGCAGCACTTAATTTAGTTGTTTTAAGTGAGACCAGCCTTTGGTTTCACCTACTTAATAAAAAAATGGGCCTTGACAAGGGGCACGATCGTTTGACAGCTGGTCTGATTGAATCTTACCTCATTTAAACCTGGAGTAATAGTAGGTGCGGCAATAAAAACAACAAAAGGAGCAAACTCTGCAGTTCTCAGGACCTTCAGTGCCTGTGATAAGAAGGGAAAAAAGGAAAAGAAACTTAAAAGAGGAAACGACTAATTCAACTTTCAAATGAACTTAGAAAACACTGCACAACTGAAAAAAGCCACTGGTTGGAATTTTTGGCAAAGTATTATTACATCTATCCACTTCATCCATAACTTACATTCCTTTCTTCCACAAGATAGACAGGAGCCATCTATAAAAGAAAAGGTGACAAACTGGACATTTTTCTTATGAATCTCATGAGTCGATTTGATGTCTTTTTCCTTGGAAAATTTATCACCAGTTATGTTACCTAGTGTTTACTTAAACCTGGCTATTTATTTAGTTGGCATTTTAACTTCTAAGAAATGCATCTTTGGGTGGGCTTGGACCAGCGGGCTGATTTCACCACTGAGAGTCTGATTATATTTTGAAATTCCACTTGCTAACCATGGTCACCTGTGTAATAGTGAGGGCTGTGCATTGCACTCTGAGCTCCCCTGATGAAAGGCCCTGGAGAACTCACTGGGAGGGAAGTCTATTAGCGAGGGAAGCCTTGCACTCATGGAGCACTACCACCAAAGGGCTGTGTGTCAATGAGCAGCCAGGAGTTCCTTGAGAGAACACTGTATCCAAGGGAGAAGGACCTCTGAGGCCCCTCTCCATGCCCTTCCAAGGCATCAATTCTATCTAATTAGGTAAATTACCAGTTTGCCTAGTTAAACTGTAAAGCTGAAATCAGATGGTACAGGAGCTGCTGCTGTAAGATATTATTACTTCAGCTCCTCTCCTAGAATACTCATCTGGGTTATGAACAAACTTTAAGAATATACAGGGACACAATTCACAGTGACTGACATGCAATTAACTCATGTATGTCAGGGGTGGCATACATGTCCCTTATCTATAGCATTTTTCTGTTATACAAATATTTTGCTTTCTAAATAGTCTTTACATGTGTTGCTGTTGCTCAATTCCTATCACCCGACCTGTTCATGGTGGTAGCAAGCAGACTGGTCGCTCTGCCTCCAGTTTTGTTGCTGTCTAATCCATATTCTGTTCTGCTACAGTGTCATCTTTCTCAAGTTAAATCCAATCATGTCCCACCTCTGGAAAAACCTCCCTTGGCCTTGGGATAAAATGTGCATTCCTCAGCATTAAGTGTCAGAGTCCTCACCAGCTGGCCTCTCATGTGATTTCCTCTTTAGCCTCTCTCTACCCCTTATCCTTTGTGGAACAGCCTTACTGAACTACTTTTAGTATTTCTGGTCTTTTTACTCACTACTCCCCTCTGGTAGCTTAGTGGTAAGGAACTGTGCTGCCAAAGGCACATGGTTCAAATCTACCAGCTGCTTCATGGGAGACAGATGGACAATCTCCTCACGAGTGATTTACAGCCTCAGAAAACCCACTGGAAGGTCAGCAATGGGTCAGCTCTGACTCAGTAGTACACAACAATACAACTGTCTCTCCTGGGACTTTCCACTTTCTCCTTTTTTGCTTGACTGAGTAACTCTTTAGAACTCAATACTGATACTGTTTTCTCTGAAAAGTCCTCCATGAGCTCTGAGACTTTGGTAGGTGCCTCTCCCATGTGCTCCTGAAGTCCCCTGCATGTGTACAACTGTTATATCCATCACATTGGAAATATAGGTGCTGGGTTACTAGAGGAGAAGCTTCTTGAGCACAGGGGTGTTTCTTGTTCAGTAGTAGCCTTCATGCCCAATACAGCACCTGGCATGAACTGTCTTTATGATGAAATGAAATTGGAAAAGAAGAAGTAAATATAATTTGCCTCAAATTTCTTTTGTCCTGTGAGGCAAGTTTAATTAGACAGCACTCTGGCTTCTTGATTAATGTAATCTGTTTGTGTATTGGAGTTTATAGGCATGTAGGAGACAAGTTTGGAATAAAGTTTCAGCTTTAAAATTTTTTAAGACTCACTTCTGCTAGGATATTTCTAAATTTTAGTTACAACCACAGCATAGAGAGAGATCAGTTGTCCTAGTGGACAGAAAGTGATGTTACCAAACCAAAGGTGGGTGACTCAAATCAGTGGCCCTCAGGCCTGTTTGTAATTGTTTTTGGTCAAACATTCTTCAAGGTCATATAGCCCTGGTATGTCCACTTGCCATACAGAGGTAACTTGTGGTTGCTGTGAAGCGGAACACTACACTGATGTGGCAAATGAGAGAATGGTTACCCATAGTGGACAGTGTTTTGTGGAGCTCCCTGATTAAAACAAGCTTGGAAGCAGGAGTGGCATCCTCTTCCAAAATAACTTGCCTCTGCAAACACTATGAACCTAGAGAAACGATGAAAGTTATACATGTGTCCAGGTCTTTCATTAATAATGAGTCGCCTACGACTCAATGGCACTTAACAACAATAACAACACTCATTGTGCAGTCAGGGAGCTTAGTACCTGCTTTTATTACAGTTGAAGTCAAAAGCTCTTCAAATGTTCATTTAAAAAATTTTAGTAAACTTAGTAATACCTACTAAAAATCCTAGTAATTTCTTAGATTTAAGATTTTAAAAATCTTTGTAATTTCTCTGCCAATCATTTTATGACTAAGGATATTAGCAAGGAACAAACACCATGAAAAAGTCCACATATACCAGCTTAGCAGGGATCTTCACTTAGAAATGTCCTTTTCTAGAAACATAACATGGATCTTTTTTTTTGTCCTTCCTATGCTCATAAATCATGTGAATAGTAGGAACAGCTGAGACATAAGGTTTTATTATCTACCCATTCCCCCAACTCCCCATTGCATACACATGCCCACATCCACAGCCAGTTCCTAGGCAACTGACATAGGAAACCAGATGGAAGTCCACACAGCCAGGGTGCTGTGTGGAATGGAACCCATGGATAGAATAAAGAATGACACCCCAGGCATGAAATGGTTGATTTCTTCTCTGCTCAGTAACTCAGCCAGATAGTCACTCAATCTTTGAATATTTTAAGATATAGACTGCTATCATATTGCAACATCAGAAAACAATCTATTTGGAAAACATTTGTTTCTTGCAGATTATCATTCTTTGCACTACATGTAATATCCATGAAGATGTGAAGATCATTTGGCACTTAATTGCATATTGTATGAAATACAATGTGAGTGAAGAATAAATAATGTGTAACACAATGTATATGAACTTTGTAGGCAAACCAATAATAATTTAAAAAAAGTATTTTAAAAAAACTTGCCAAGAAAGACCATATATATCATATTGTCTGGTGTCTCTCATATATAGCATCCATGTTATTCCTTCAGCAGTTAATTCCAAGGAAAGTAATGGCATGCTTATTTATTTTTCTTTTCATTTTCATTTTCTACTGGTGGTTGCAGAGTCAAGTTTAATGTCTATCCCAAATAACTACAGTTGCTCTTGTGGGTAGCAGTTGTTGCTTCTATGTTTCCTGGCTTTGATTTCCTATTTCAATCCTCTATCATCGTACTTTCAAAAATGGTAAGATGCGTCACATCTGGACAGAAATATTGTCTACTAGTTGTGATCTCTACAGCCGAGCTGCCACACATTTCCTCAGTTGTTCATAAAAGTCTCTGTTTCCATGTTGTTGTTGTTGTTGTAGTTGTTAAGTGTCGTCAAGTCGTAGACGACCTTATGAACAAAAGACCTGAACACTTGCATAACTTTCATCATTTCTCCACGTTCATAGGGTTTCTGGAGGCAAGCTATTTTGGAAGTGGATGCCACTCCTGCTTCCAACCTTGTTTTAATTGGGGAGCTCCATCAAACACTGTCCACCATACTTTGCTCTATTTATGAGTCTCAGTGAACACCCATTTTTGGGTGCAATTTCAGCTTGCCCAAGTTCAGGGTCACTTCAGGGACAGGAAATGGAACGATTTCACAAGGATTTTCTTCCCTGAAGCAGTTAAGTGATGCTGAAGTGAATTTTTAAACCTCTTTCTTTCTATTTCAAGATGAGACAAATTTGTTAATAGCAAACTTCTCTCTCTGAACATCAGAGAAAGATGTCTAGAATAATCACTGAAAATAAGCTAGATTTAAATAGCCAAAGTAATGTTAACAGTTAAAGTTAATTCTAAAGTTATATTTAATTCTGTGTTTTGGGGATATATATTGATTTATAGCACATCTATGGATAATAATTTCAGATCCTCATCTGGTTACTTCCTGGAAAATCTGCAGTCATAGCTATTGCATCTTTAGGGAATAAAAACTCATCTGACTCAAGTACCTAAGAACAAATATCTGTAAGACTTCGGCTGGCAGATTTTAAAAGAACATAAAGGCGAGCAAGCATTTCAGTCATTTTGTACAGAAATTTAAGGACACTGGTGACCCCAGCAACAATCTTCACAGAGCCAAATAATTTAATAAAATAGTACTTGTTTCAGAAGCTAGGTTTTGTTTCCAAGTACAGAGCCCTAACAAATGACTGAAAGCCAGTCCTTCATGGTACTTTTTCCTTCTGTGGACTAAAGTAAAACTCGAAACATTCTGTCACTGTTAACTTTTAAATGGTGAAAATAGATAAATCAGAATAACATGAAAAGCGGAAATCTTTATACATGAAAATATTAAGTTACATTAAGCTCTGATCACACATTAGATTTATTATTATTTTCATTTTAGGGACATGGACTAGATTTTGAGTTTTATTTCCATTACAACTAAGTCTTATAGCTTTTCTTAGTTTTGCCTGTATTATAGATTTATTTTTTTTTCTATGTTCAGCTTTTTTTTATTTTTAAAGGTTTTAAAAAAATATTAGTTTATTTACACAGTTCAAATCCATAGATTTCTAGAACAGATTCCTCCAATGTCCTTCACCCCTCCACCCATCATATTATGCTGAGTGAGGTATCTCAGTGACAAAGGGACAAATGCTATATGGTGCCACTGTTGTAGAATGAGGCTGGCATTGGGGTGGGGGTAAGACTGAGGATGTGCAGGGGGAGTTGTACAATAGATTTATTTTTTGAAAAAAATGTGTGTGTGTGTGTGTGTGTGTGTGTACTATCAAATTGGATCTGACTGGTACAGGAGAAGATTGTTGCTCCTTCTCCAGCAGAGTATCTGGTGGAATTGAACCACGCACTTCTGGGATTGCAGTGCAGTTTTTTTGCCACTAGGCCACCAGACCTCCCTCGCCTTAAAATATTTTTTAAAAAATCAAGAATTTAAATGGTAATACCACATAAAAAGTGGAACATTGGGAAATGCTGTGTTTAGAGGGTATTTTCCCTGTGAAAAAAAGTTGGGATTTATTATAAAAACCAAAACCAAAAACCAGGTACAAGTTCAAGCTTCACTTGCAGTAATTTACTATAAAACTTTGATCAAGCTATAGTTACATTAAGCCTTGGTTTTCTCAACTACAAATGTATACACTAATGTATTTATCTTATAGTTACAAAACATTAGGAGTAACAGTACTAGGCTGCTAACAGAAAGGTTAGTGCCTTGAGTTCACCCACAGGCATCTCACAAGAAAGGCTTGGTGATCTCTTTTGAAAAAAATCAGCCATTGAAAACTGTATGGTATCAACAACAGCAAATAAAAGGAGTTATCAAAGCAAGGGAAAAACCTCCAAAATAGTACAACTCTACCCTGATTAATACACATCAGGTAACCATGAGTTAGGGTTAACTCAAAAGCATTTTTTTTCAATAACAAAAATACAGCCTACTGCTATTTTTAAAAAAAATCTGGTTACTAATTTTTTCCAGCTTAATATCTTTACCATGGTCCTTTATATTTGCTCAATTTGACCTTAACCTCCCAAAATAAGTTGACGTAGAGTATTAGACGTGCAGCAAAGAAGTTGAAACACTAGTTTTAGGTCCGCAGGTAGTGGAGGTGGCATCAGAAGTGGCAGAAGTGTGAGGGTTTAAAGAAAATGCCATAAGGCATTTCTCTAGTTAGGGATAATTTTCTATGTACATCAAGGAAGGAATTCCATCCTCACCAGCTCTTCTTCTTATTTGTATTCTTAGCTCTTGGCACAGCTCAGTGCCTGGCATACAAGTGTGCTAAATTAAATTGTCAGTGAGGTACAGCAGAGGGGGCACCATAATAAGCTGGGGTTGGAAAAGGGCATGGAGGAAAATGCCCCAAGGTGAGAGCCTCCCTGGAGCAATGAGGTTCTGCCTGAAAGCAAGTCATTGGTGGCCACAGACATTCTTAAGGCAGGATCAAGGCCTTCCCCAGCTCCCACAGAGAGCAGGCTGAGAGAAGAACAGCCCAAGGGGGCAGCTCTGTTAGAGCAGGCTCTGTGGGCATGCACAGAGATCAGTTTGAGACCAGTGCTGGACATAAGACCAGACTGGGCAATGTGAAGTCCCGGGCAGGAGAGCCTGGGACCAGAGTGGTTAACCCGACCTGGGGGATCTCTCTTCCCAGGGCAATTGCCCCAAAGAGTCTCAGGCAGAGAACAAGCTGCCTATGGTTTGCCCTTAGAGGTGGGCGGACCTGAGAGCTGACAGTGCTGAGAAGTGGGCATACAGGAAGCAGCAAGAAGAATGCAAGTGAGCACATCCATCCAGCAATCAGGGTAGAGGGGGAAACTGCCCAGGCTGGGCCAGAAGTGCTCAGGTGCCAACTGCAACAGGTCCAAGTAACTGCTATGAATGTTCTGATGAGGCTGAGAGAAATGTCTCCCACTTAGCAGTGCAGGGCAATGCATGAATGTGCAAAGGCGAGGAGACAGGAGAGCTGAACACTAAGAGTGGAGCAGCAGCAGCAAGAGTGGTGGCAGTGGCAAGCAGCAGCAAAAGCAGCAGTTAAGGCAGAAAAGCCTTAGAAATTGGACTAGGGAATGTGCAGGGAGTCTGAGAAACCCTGCAGCCAACATACTGCTAGAGACATTACTACCAGCAGAAAACGACGTTCAGGTGAAGACCAGTGTGGAACCCAAGGAGAAGATGTCGAAGACCAGGACCAGGATTGAGACTTTGCCTCTAGCCACCCCTGGCCAGAAGATTTTTCCAATCCCTAGTAAGGAGGGATTATTAGTTAAGCAAAAAAATCAATCTGTGTTATACATCATATATTTCGTTTTATATAGGTCTATGTTAATGATTAAGTTCATACCCACTTCACCAGACCCTTTTGTGGTTTTCAAAGTTCTAAGTTAAATAATCCCATCCAGTGCTGTAAAACAGATGACTAAACCTGACTGGCCATAAAGTTAGGATTCCGGATCCTAGTAACTGAGCTGTCAAGCCCCAGGTCACACAAACCCTGACTACACAGGTTCCTTTCTCATTTGGGGGATAGCTAGGGAATCAAGTTTGACAGTGGCCCTTTGGCAGGGATTTGTCCTTCCTGGAACAACCAGGTAAGCCTCCTGATGAAACTGGAGCCTGCTTAAGGGCAGCTGATCTACAGATTGCAGGTGTAAATGATAAGGACTTCTAGGCAGTCTTTTTATCTAGAGATTAAAACCACTCCCAACTCCAACAAAACTGGAAAAGTGAGGTGCTTGATATTCTCCATGTAATGCCTTCAGTTTGCTCTTTTTCAAGTTTAGTAATTTCTATTGCTTCGGGTATAGTCCTATTTACAGGTCATCTAATTTTCTGTCTGGCTCTCCTCTGACTCAAAGTTTGCCATATTCTTTCTGGTTTCAGCTCAGCTCTCCACCTTCCTTAGGTGAAGAGATGACAGAGTCTCAGGACTACCCAAAGGTCTATACCTCCCTCTGCTGGCAATCCCTGGACTCAATCATGCTGGCTTTCATAAACTAATGCTAGATGTCAGGCCCAGGCCCCAGAATCAGATTTTCTGGCTAGTTATTAACCTAAGATGCTGCACTGAGTCCAGTAATCAGTTTGCACTTTAGACTGTTGATCTATGCTCCTTTGATTACTGATGTTTTCTTGCAGTTTGTCAAATTGTTAGGCAACCCATGACTTTCTGATGGCATATTTTATTTCACAAACTGAGATTAGCATGCAAGTAAGATGAGTTGGGTGTTGAGCATGGCTGGACATTACCTGAGGCTCTACGTCCAGTATTGCAATCAGCCCCTGCTCATGGATCTTCCGGATGGTTTCCAACTTTGTCCCATACATGGCATCTTCATGGCTGCCATACTCCAGGTACTCATTATTAGAGATATCTTGCATCATTTGGTCATGAGATACAAAGTAGTAATTCTTTCCATTTTCTTCATCTTTCTTTGGAGGTCTGGTTGTATCTGCCAAATCACATGCAGCGAGAGATTTAAAAGGTTGAATAAAGTCCGAACGGATCTATCAAAACCTGATTTTTTTATACATCTACAGATTCTTTTATAACTCACCTTCATTTTCCCACTCCCAATGCATTTGTAGAAGTTATATTTATGTATGTGACATTAAACTGCAGTAGCTACTTGTTTAGTTTGAGGAATCATTCAAGTTTTAGGTAAAAGATCTTTTTCATCCCTCCCTTCAAGATTTTCATTACTCACCATATACTTTGGGCTTCGAGTAGAAGAAAGAAAGGAAAAATGAAATGAAAGATGCAGAGGCTTTTTGCTTGACTATCTATAGCTGTGCTGTCTAAATACAGTGGTGTCTAGCCATATGTGGTTATTTAAATATAAATAAATGAAAATTATATACAATTTAAAAAATAGTTAAAATATTCAATGTCTATACATAGTTAAAGGTTGCATATAGTCAGTGCATATAGAGAACCTTGCCATTATAAAAAGTTTCATAAAAAGCATACTGTATTAATTTTAGTCATACTCTGAGATCTAACATTTCAGAAAGCAGGCATGATGGAGGTCATTAACTTAAAATTTTAATCTGAGTTAGTTAATTTGCCATTTGATAACTTGGAAGTTCAATTGTTACATGATCAAGAACAAATTCACCAACCTTGCTATATTCATGATCTAGATTTAAGGAGGATTAAAGGAACATTTCATAGTATTCTATGGAAAACCTCAGGGGCACTACTTATAATGACATGTAATGATTTACTTATTGTATAAATCAGACGGCATTCTGGATGAGGGTGACCTCATCAAGTCTCACAGCTCTCTGGGGCATCAGACATAACAGTAAGTGATCCCAGCACTGCTGCAGAAAGACATCTGGAAGTCTGACAGCATGGAGCCAATTCCTTTCCATTTTCTCCAGCAGCTCTTAAAAAATCATTCTCTTTTAGAGCCTCCTATCCTGCTGGAGCTTCTGACCTAAAGGCACACTTAGTTTAGGAGAAAGATGGACAATCTCTTCACTTGTGATTTACTGCCTCTGAAAACCCACTGGAGGGTGGTTCTTACTTGGATAGCACACAATTACAACTACAACCCTGAACAAGGCTCTAGTCACCAGAAAGCTTTGGGATTCAGATTTTTAAACTTTAGAATAACAATGATGATAACCATAAAAACCGAGAGGGGTAAGATGGATACTCTGCATCCAGCAACTTCTAAGTGCTTCATACACATTATTTCTAATACTCTACAACCCTGGAGGCAGGAAATATTTCACTCTACATTTGAGGACACTAGGAGGACTAAAGGATAAGAAGAAAATATCAGAAATAAGAATAATAGATATAAAGAAAAATATTCATAATAAACAATGATACATTAGCTGAGCTATCAGATTGGTAGGTCAAAAATTAATATTATTAATATTAATAAATATTAATAATATTATCATGGGGAAACTATACAATGACTAACACTTATTTTTGTGTAGATTAACTCATCTGGGTAAAGTTTATGAGACACGATTGGAGAAATTTGGTGATAAATATAATGAGTAAGCCTAATTTTATTAAAAATTATACATATCCACATAAAAAATCAACACAAAACTAATGCAAGTCCTTATGTTTGTGCTAAGAGGAGTTATTCCTCAGTGGGGTGGAGTTACTGTTAACTCATTTTCTTCTTTTTTAATTTTCCCAATTTCCTGCAATAAACAGTTATTTCTCAAGTAATCAGTAAAAAAAGAAGAGCTATAATACCAATATTAAAAATTTATAGAGAAAAATGTAATTGAAAGACATAGCTTACGTGGAATAGGGTATGCAAAGCGGTCCGGGTGCTTTGTAATGAGGGTGTTTTTTATGTGTCTTCTCCCAACACCATGTGCACCTATGTAAGTTTTTAAGAAGGAAGTTAACATTTTAAAATTATCAATAATACTCATAAAATATTTTGAAAGAGAAACTGAAAATGCTACTTGTATAATCAAGCTTACCTAATAAGACTAGTGTTTTCCTTTTGAATGCTGGCAGTTTTACTACTTCTTCATATGTAACGAGATCTAATTGATCAAACACTAAAAGGCAAAGATTTATAAGAAAGGTAAATTTGTAGAATGAATATGTCATGTATTAAATGATACTTTTACTGGCAAAACTACAGTTACAGTAAAAACCATGTCTTGAAAAATATTAATCCAAGTTGTAATTTACAGCTTACAGCCTTATTTAGGAAAAAAATTCATTTCAAGCTCATGAAATGCACTTTCAGAGCAAGGGGCATCCAAAAATATAGGTTAAGCACATGCATAGAAATCTAATTTGAAAAGACATTGCATATCTTTTAATGCAGTGTCCAGCAGATCATATGGATGTTACCAATTTCACATGCTGTTCCCATTTTTGCAATTCTAAGAAATCAGCAGTAACAAAAGTCTACATACAGTGACCAACATGAATAAAGCATGAAGGCAACAAAAGTTAACTGACAGAGTGGCCAGCTAAATAATTTCTAGAGATGGATGAGAAACACATGGACAGTTAGTCTTTAACTTCATGGTTCTTTCAACAGAGTTGATAGACGTAGCATTGGCATGCTACGTCTTTCAAAGTCAAGTTCTTCTGTAACTATGATTTCACAGCTTTGGAAATGAACATCTCATAAGTTTTGTTATACCCCAGATACCCATTTGATGAAAAGTCGTGGGCATGTAAGCAGGGAAACACTCTTCCGCGGGTCCCATACACTATCAGCCAGCCTGTGAATGGTAAAATCAGGATGGACAGAAATGGAAAGAAGCATGAGGTAGCAGATAGAGTCCGAGCCTGGAAAGCTTTGCAGAAGGGGAGTTCTCTAATCATTACAGACTGAGGTGAAAAATCCTTAAAAATATTTTTAAAACCTCTCTCTTAACAAAACTACTGCAAAAACAATTCCAAGCAATTGTTTCCTGAGGGGATGACCATTCTTGTTGAAGTTCAATGTAGTTCAGTTCTCACACACACTTGAACATTCTCACAAGGGGACGAAAGTCATGTGACTACATTTCTGTTAATAATTTTTGCATTGTAATATCCAAATATCGTCAGGTGCAAACTAAACTTCTTTCTTTCTTTTTTAAAAGAAAGATATTTAATAAGTCCTGAATTTTAGAGGGATTGGAATTATTTCCATAAAATTGATTCCATACTAAATGAAAAGAATCTGGATGTTTCAGTCAGTCTTCTCTCTGAAACAATATGGCCAAATGGTTTTGTGTATCAAACTCAATCCATAATATTTATGATCTTCCCAGTAGCAAAGAACCCTAACCTACAAAACAGTTGCACTAAGAGTTGGAAACAACCTAAGTGGCCATCAACAAACAAATGGATAGAGAAGTTGTGGTATATTCACACAATGGAATACTACACTGCACTGAAAAAACAAGGAACTCATGAAATATTATACAAAATGGATGATCCTGGAAGACATTATGCTGACTGAAATATCTCAGTCACAAAAGGTCAAATACTGCATAGTGCCACTATTGTAAAATGGGACTGACATCAGGGTTGGAGGGAGACTGAGAAAGATAGGATAAATTATAAATACTGCATTGAAACAGATGAGGGAGGGAACTGTTTAAAAGGGATATATGATTGGATATTATTGTCATGACAGGAGCCCAGAAAGAAGGCTGCATAGTGGAGTGGACTTGGAGGGAGAGATTGTATAACAATGAAAGAATTTTTCTTTTACTTATCAAAGAAAAGAATGAACTGGAGGGGAGGTTGGACAGGGGGGAAAGTGCAACAATGAATGAATGGAAATCCAAAGTCTCTGTAAACTTTCATTAAAATTAATTAATTAATTAACTAATTAATTTTAAAAAGGGAAAAAAACAAAACAAACAAGAGTTGCACTAGGTTAAAATAAAAAACAAAAGTATCATTCTCAAAATTCTATTTTTAAAAGGAACTATAACATGTTAACAGTAAGACTTAGTGCATGGTAATGAGTATTTGTGCATTTTTGTTTCTTTTGAGGACTTGATTTCCTATTGAATAGAATGCTTTTCTCAAGCAACAGTTGGAAATAAAAAAAAATTTGGTGGGTTTAGAATGGGAGACTAAAAATGTGAAAGAGAGAATGAGGCACTGGAGTGACCAGACTTACCAAAAAAAAAAAAAAAAAAAGCAAGAGTGCTTATGGCATTGTTTTTTATATCTATCACTCACTATGTCAGATTTTCCTCAAGTATGCCCATGAAAGAAGTCCATCAGCAAATGGATCTATTTTACTATTAAAAAACTCCTACACAAACATCTCATAAAAGAGCAAGATGGTAAATAAACTAGCTTTCTGCATGGTATGCAAAATCTGCTCCCTCCTCTAGTGGGCTGCCACTTTCTAGCTGAATTCCTACTGCATGAAGACTCATCATTTTTTTTTAAGACTTGCCATTTTTAATAAACACAGAAGAATGAGTTAGATATGAACAATCAACACCACAAACAAGTAGATGATCCAAATGGTCAAAGGGTTGTGAAACAACAAAAAAGGGCATTTTCAAATAAAGATATATAAGGAATATAAGGAAAACATTCAGAGACTGAACTTTTAAAGTTTTAAGGTGCTTGCTGATTTTTTTGTTATAAAAACATAATGAAAGGAAACAGTCAAAAACAAATCAAGAGGTATAGTCACTCAACAGGTTACTTACATGCACAGAGGCCATTGGGAGTAAGACGGCATGAAAAATGTACAGGGGTCATTGAAATATGGTTTTTAATATATTAGTAAAATAAAAATATAATATGCACAAAATAAACTTTATCATGCAATATTTTAAACACAGGCAAATAAATCACATTAACTAATAAACTCATTTTAATAAAAATTCAACTATATCCTTACATAAAAGTTAGTGAATTTTATATAATAGCAAATACATAGAAATTTTATGTGGGAATAATTATAAAAAACTCTTTTCCAAGAGTGTAAGTGTGGAAGCCTTTCACTTGATTTTGTACCTTTCTGCACTGTTCATATTCTCTAAACAGAGACGTCTATGAATTATTTAAAAAATATGTCCACAGGCCAGCTGGGCAGTGAAATTACATAACTTAATATAAATTTAAATATATTGAAAATAGAGTTCTTTAAGCATACGACAATGCTTTTTACACTAAATACATATCTTCTACATATATACTTTTCTTAAAATTACATATACAAATCTATTCCCAAGGTTTCAGAAATACTACCTGGCATAGTTTGCTCTAAATACCTACCCTGATTTCCTGGTAAACTACTCAACATTAGAGACAAGTCTTTTTTTCCTGAATACTTTTTCATGCTTTCCCTCCTTTTAAAAAAATTATTATTAAGGAGACACGTCTTTTAAATATTCAAGTAACCACTTTACAGCTGAATATTTTCTGAAAACATCCTCCCCTCCCCCCTTAACATATAATCCTTTTCTTGTTTTGAAAAGCTACAAATATTTTCAAAGACTGTAAAAAGCTCCAATTTAAAAAATGCACTGCATAGTGGTAACACTGGGCTAAGGAGTGCACTCTCAAATAACTGCAGCTAATGTGTTTGAATGATGTGGGTCAGTGCAAGAATAAGGAGTAGTAGGGACAACAGGTCCTGGAAAATGAGTGTTCACCCAAAAGGGACATTAATAGAAAGGTGGCCCCAAGTGTAGTCACAGCAAGATTTTTTGGGTTTTTTTTTTTCCAAGGGAAGTCAGAAGTCTAGTTTTTCATGTTAAATATCTTGATTTTTAAATGTGACAGCAAGTTAAAATTATTATATGGGACAAACAAGATGTACTGATGGGTCAGTTAATGGGCTGGGACTTGATAATGTGAGATATAGGTAACATAGTTTGGACAGAACCCTGTCTTTAGCAGCTTTGTGGAATGTTCTGGAAGTAACTCATTCTAGTGTTAATATTCTTATCAAGTATAGATATTGACAAAGTTCTTATCTTTACTACAAATAGTAAATCTTTGGAATTTGAGACAGGAAACAAAATTTATGGCGTTTAATATAATCTGTGGAGCTCTGGTTGTAAGAATCTGCACTACAATCTTGAAGGCAAGCAGTTTGAATACACCAGCTGCTCCATGGGAGTAGGATGGGCCATCTTCTCCCATGAGATGAAGTGCCTCTGAAAACCCACTGGAGGGTCAGCTATGGGTCAGTTCTGACTCGATGGTACACAACAATAATAACAACAATATGATTTAGTGAATACTCTGATAACAAAAAAGAGTATACTGAAATTTAGAATCAATTTCTAAAGAAGCAAGAGGAAAACCTTCAGAAATATGGTTTGATGTGTGGTTCATGAGTCATTCGGCTAGTTTGGGATACTAAAGATTATCTCAAAGCCTCTGTCTTACCCATAAAGGTCAACAGTATTAGTTTATCTTTTACAGCAGGCCATTCACTAGGGTGAAATTACATTATAGCTGAAGGTAGCATGGCTGATAAGATATTTGGCTTTCTTTTTTGACAAGTTCATCCCTCATAAAGGAAAAGTTATCACCAAAAAATTTTTCCTCTAAAATTTATAATATGGAAGAGTTGATTGGTAAAATAGAATAAACTCAAAGAGATGATGACAGAAGAAATGTTAAACCTGGTCAGATTTGAGAAAGCTCAGGGGTAAAAAGCTGAGGATCTTCTCACAAGCAGGGGAACAAAGAAAGAGAGTATACCAACACAAATAAGCCTGACAATGTACTGCAAAGAAACTTGAGCAGTTCTGTAAAAACCTTCTTAATGTGTAAACCTTCTTTCAAATGGCATAAAGAAGAGCCTCATGTGCAACAAAATAACACTGTCATGTAGAAGAACAACCCCTTAGGCATGCTGTGGATGCTTATGATTCCTAAGTAGAAAGACCTCTGCTTAGGAAAATGCTGAAGATAGTAAGAAAATAGTCTTACTTCTAAGTCTACAAGAAAGTAGAATTGATGCCTTTGAATAGTTTAGGTGGTGTAATGCCAAAACGAGAGAGAGAGAGAGAGAGAGAGAGAGAGAGAGAGAGAGAGAATGAGAGAGAGAGCACTAACAATCTTATTCTATGCCTATTAGGCACCTGCCTTCTAGATATAACAAAAGAGATAACCTTTGACAGGCGATAGACATGTTTATCAGAGAGCTAATATTTTTGATGTTGTGAGGTGCTGTTGAGTTGAGTAGACTCACAGTGATCCTATGAACAGCCAGCCTGAAACCTGCTATATCTTGTCATCCTCATCATCTGAGACACAAGAGCCCACTGCTGAAGTCACCATGTCAGTTCATCTCCTTGGGGGTCTTCCTCTCCTTCGCTGATCCTCTATCTTTCCAAACATGATGTCCCTTTCCAAGAAATAGCCTCACCTAACTATATGTCCAAAGTATGAATGGTGAAGCTTCATCATTCTTGCCTCCAAGGAGCATTCTGGCTGTACCCTTTCCAAGATTTATTTCTTTGTCCTTTTGACAGCCCCTATATTCAATAATCTTCTCCAGCACCGCAACTCAAAGGCATCCATTCTTTCATCATCCTTTTTCACTGTCCAGCCTGCAGGTGATTGAGAAGACTACAGCCTCAATCAGGTGCACTTCAGTATTTAAAATGACCCCATTGCTCTTCAGTGTTTTGGAGAGGTCCCTGCGACCAGACTTTTCCAATGCAGTATGTCTTCTGATTTTCTGAATGCTGGTACCAAGGGTGATGATTGTTGATCCAAACAAGATGAAATAATTGACAGCTTCAATCTCCATCTATCACAATGTTGACTTGTGGTAAGGATCTTTGCCTTTTTGATGTTAAGATGTAACCCACACCGAAGTCTGTAGTCCTTGATCTTCTGCAGCAAGTGTTTCATATCTTCCTCACTTTCTGCAAGCTATGTTAGCACCATAATGCAGGTTGTTGATGAGTCTTCCTCTAATTCTGATGTCATACTCCTCTTCATACACACCAGCTTAATGAGTTATTTGCTTAGCATACAGATTGAATAAATATGAAGAACGGATACAATTCTGACACAAACTCTTTCTGATTTTAAACCATGCAGTGTTCCCTTGCTCTGTTTGCGCAACACCTTCTTGGTCTGGATATAGATGCCATATAAGTACAATTAAGTGTTCTAGGATTCCCATTCTTCTTAACATGAACTATAATTTGTTATGATCTATGCAGCCAAATGTCTTTGTGTGATCAATAAAATATAAATAGACATTCATCAGCAATGATATCCCTGGTACCATGGCCCCTTCTAAAACCAGCTTGTACTTTAGCAGTTCCCTATCAATATACATACAGGTCTAGCCATTTTGAATGATCTTCAACAATATTTTGCTTGCATGAGATATTAACTATACAGTTCAATAATGTCTACATTCTGTTGGATCACCTTTCTTGGGAATGGGGACAAATATAGATTCTTCTTGTCAGTAGACCAGGTAGCTATCCTCCAAATTTCCTGGCATAAACTGGTGAGTACATCTAAGGCTGCATAGTTTTTAATGAGAGACAGTAAAAAAAGTACTCAGCTTCATGGAGAGATAACCATTTATCAGGCTCAGAAATGGAAGAATCTTAGAATCACTGCATTTTAGAAAAGAACTTCAGGATTCAGAATTGGCATTCCTTATTTTGAGGTCCACAGCTTCATCTAAACTGTGTGGTTATGCAGAGTCATAATTCCTGGTCCTGTTTCAGGTTTGCTATGAGTTGTAGTGAACTCTATGGCACCTAACAACAACATTGCGCTAACAAGGTATCTTAGTAGCATAGTGTCTAACGTATATATTAATCTGCTAACCCAAAGACTGTTGGTTCAAGTCCATCAATTTTGTGGGAGAAAGATGTGCAGTGTTCTGTAAAGATTTATAGCCTTGCAAACCTGATAGAGGCTTGCTATGGAGTTGGAACTGACTTGACAGCAGAGGGTTTGGCTTTGGGTTTTATTACAGATGTGTCTGCAGGACCACTATCCATCATCTATTAAGAATCAGAAAAATGGGAACAATGTAAGACCAGTGATACCTCGATGTTTAAAGAATGAAAAAAGTAAACTTTGGAAAATATTGACCACTAAATTAGATGTGGATTGTCAGGGAAATTACTGCATGAAAGAGTCAACTGATGTTTTAGGAATACATAGAGAATTCTAATTTTTCAACTTGTTAACCTACTATTCTTTTTCTTCATAACGGAATTCTTTAATTCAACACTTTTTAGTGTTGGCAAATAGAAAACTCTTGTCTACATGTTCCCCATTAGTTGTTGTTGTTAGGTGCCATTGAGTTGAGTACGACTCATAGCAACCCTATGAACAAAAGATCTGAACCTAGTCCTGTCCTGCGCCATCCTCATACTTCCTGACACCCAAGAGCCCATTGCAGCAGTCACCTTGTCAATCCACTTGGTTGAGGGTCTTCTTTTCCTTTGCCAACCCTCCACTCTTCCCAACATCATGTCCCTCTCAAGGAACAGCACCTCCCAGCAAGATGCCCGAAGTATGTGAGGCGAAACCTTGTCATTCTTGCCTCCAAAGAGCACTCCAGCTGCACCCTCTCCAAGACATATCTATTCCCCATTATTAGAGCACATAAAAATTATGAATAGAAAATTTTAACCAGTCACTTCTTGGCTTTTGTATTGTTGATCAATTTCTGTATCATCTATATTTTTAAGTTGTTTAAAAAGACAAAGACAAGTATACACACTAGGTGTGTGTGTGTGTGTATCTGTTTATTAACACATCTTTTTGTGAACCTGCTAAGAGTGTTAGCAGCTGATGGCAGTATAAACAATTAAGGAGACAATGATTAAGGAGACATTTTATTTCTACTATCACCACAGTGAATTTTAACCCGCTACTTCGGATTTTAAAAATTAACAGTTGCTAAACTGCATTTAGTAAGTCTGCATTAAATATTTTTCCCTTTGTACAACAAAACAAAACGCCATTATAATACTAGTGCTCTTTAGCAGAACATAATTGAAATGGTATATTCTGTTGGAAAGGAAAATGCAGTGCAATGCAGCCAATGTGAGGGAAAGACTCCTCATTTAACTCAAATATTTCAAATTAACCCACGTGGCCACTCACATGAATTACATATAATACATTATTTTGAAAACATTTACTTCTGTTCTCTGATGGAGAAATGAACACTTTTTTTCCTTACTGCATCTTAACACATTAATACAATCTACAGAAAATATAGTTAGTAATTTTTATACTTTATTGAATTGAGTATGCACCATTGAATTAATTTGATTTTTATTACCTGGTGTTGGATTTCTGGTGCTATTTCTAAAACCTTGGGAATTAATCTAATGCCAATGTCAGGGCTTTTATCAGAGGGGGACTTAGTGTTCCATAACTTTTTTTTATATTAAAGAAAGAAGTTACTGAAAAACAATTCAACTCTATACATTAGCATGCATTTTCTTTAAGCTTAAGCTGTAACCTCTGAGTCTTCTGGGAATTCAACTCCAATGATAGATTATGCTTTTTTGGTATCCATTTCAGCTTTTAAGAAAGTAAGTTTTTAATTTAGAATGACTACAGTCTTTCACATAGATAAACATACCATGTAGAGAAGGTCAAAATAATGTTCTTGGTATTTTAGGAACTAAGAAATATCATGAAGACTTGTAACCAAACTAAGTTAGTATCCATGTTATCTGTGCATTTTCAAACCAACCACTTATTTGCAGCATAACTTTTTAAAAAGTGTATCTTTGCTTTTAGATATATGTCAAAGGGCCCTATTCAAAGGCCAGGAGGAAGCCAAACTATGGAAGTAACAATCCTCCTAATTCAGCAAATACTCAAGCTCTCATTTATCAGAGGGGGACTTACTGTATTGACTTCTATTAGCTCGAGAGGATAATAATACTTCAAAGTAGAATCTTTATTCCTACAAAATATAATTCTGAACAATATCTAGCAAATAACAACTAAGGAGGTAGAGGTTTCTGAAAAAGTTTTTTAAGTTAATCAACTGAATTGATTGAACTGAAATATTACATCTACTTAGATCTTTGAGATGTTCAATCCAGCCTCAGTAAAAGCTGTACTCTTTCCTACCTGCATTGTGCTTTGCCAAGTATTTGTCTTTGTATTGCTTCTTTTTCTTGCCAAACCAGGTACAGCTGGCCTGCTGCTCCTGCTTGGTCTTCTCCATGGCAATGCAAGCCACTCGCCTAACAAATGCACACACACACAAAAAAAAAACAAAATTAATGTATAGTTTTGTGTTGATAAAGGGGGAAAAAGTCATTTGTTTGAAGCATTTACATGAATCAGAATAAACATACTCATCATGAACTTTTAAAATCACTCAGAAAAAGTCTGACTTTCATGACAATCTCCTCAGAAAGCTTTTGAAACATAGGCTTATATGTATCCCTTGATTCCTTAAGCATATACTATCCAATCATGAGGAGCCTAAACAGTCTGTTAGAGATAGTGGAATGCACAGTCAAGAAAAGCCTGGTTTGAATCATAGTTCAGCCATTCATTGGCTTAACTTTTATTGAGCAATTTCAACCTTTCTAGCAACATATAACATTAGCTCACCCTTTTATAGATGAGAAGACTGAAGGACTGAGAGGTTAAATAAATTGTTTTAAATCACACAGCTTAAAAGTAGGAGAGTAGGGACAGTCCAGTATTAGAGCTCTTAGTTATTACATTTTACTTGCAAGCTTCTTAATCTCTGTTATATGACTGTTGTAAAAGATTGCCCCCTAAAATAAACTCACTGTTACTGACTTTGTTTAGACTTATAGAGTCCCTACTGTTCACTGGGTTTCTGAGGCTGCCCATCCTTCCCCTGCAGATTGGCTGAAGGATTTGAACTACTAACCTTTTGGTAAGCAGCTTGATATGTTCTGTACTATGCCACAAGGGCTCCCTACTGCAAAATATTAGAACTGAAATGTAAATAATTTCCTTAGCACAGCACTAGGCACATAGAAAATGCTTAGAAAATGATGATTCTAGCTCATACTAAGAAAAAAAAAGACACTGTAATTAGATCCATAGTTACAATCACAAGCAGGTAATCATAATTTTGTTCTACTTGATTAGAGCATTCAGCAATTGTGACATGTGTAAATGTTGTTTTCTTAGGTTTTAAGATGTTGCCACAGAAAATTTTGTTAACCTAGTTTTTGCTTGGAGACCAATCATAGGGTCCCTGTGACTCCCATACACGGAGAACCCAAATCACCACCAGAATGATATACAATGCATTTTTAAGTGCATTTTCCAGAGAGGATGTACTGCTTTATACTCCACCAGCAGCATAGGAGAGTTTCTGTTGCTCAACTTCCTTGTCTACCCTTGGTATTATCACCTTTAACTTTAGCTGTCATGGTGAGTAAGAGCTTATCACTGAACTGTTAATTTGCATTTTACTGAGATTGAATATATTTTCTCATGATTATTAGCCATTATAATTTCTCTAGGAAACAGTGGTAGTTAGTCTTTCGGCCACCTTTCTATTCAACTGTCTTTTTGTCATGGATTTGCTGGACTTCTTTACATAAACACTTTTGTTAGCTATCTGTGGTGCAGATATCGTCTAGTCTCAGTCTCACTTTTTACTATTTTATGGTATCTTTTGGTGAGCATAGTTATCACTTTTAGTCAACTCTATTGATCTTTTCCTTTATGGGAAATAGTTTTTGCTATCTTGTGGTGTAAGGAATTCCTCCTTGGCAAAGTCTGCTGTTAAGGACCACTCCAGACTGCTAAAGAGCACTGATGTCAGTCTAGAGACTAAGGTGCACTTGATCCAGGCCATGGTCTTCTCAATTACTTGCTATGCATCGGAGAGCTGGACAATGACTAAGGATGACAGAAGAATTTATGCCTTTGAGTTGTGGTGCTGGAGAAGAGTATTGAATACACTATGAACTGTCAAGAGAACAACCCAATCTATCTTGGATAGGGTGAAACCAAGTCGCTTCTCGGAGGCAAGGATTTTGATGCTCTGCCTCTCATACTTTGGGCATTTGGCCAGGAGAGATCAGTCCTTGGAGAAGGATATCATGCTTGGAAGGTTGGAGGGATAACTCAGGAGAGGAAGACCCTGGATGAGATGGATTGACACAGTAACTGTGGCCAATGGCGGCAGGAGTGTCAGAGACAGTGAGACTGGCTCAGGATAGGAGCAAGGTTCAGAGCTATTGTTCATAGAGATGCTACGAGTTGTAGTTGCCTCAAAGACACATAACAACAACCACCTTGTCTCTGAAGGTGTCTTCTAATATAAACTTCTTAAGGATTTTTAATTTTATCTTTTGATAAACAGAAACTGATTTTTGTATATGGTGTGAAGTAGGGGTCCAATTTTTCCTTAACTCTGCTCACAATGAATATCCAATTGTCTACAGTGACTTAGTGATAGAGTTGTCCTTTTCCCACTGCTCTGCATTGCCATTTCTACTATATATCAAGTATCCATTTATAATACAGGGAAGTTTCTGAGTTTTCCCATTTTGTTCTGTTGGTCTGCTTGAGCATCTTTGTACCTGTATTTAGTTACTATAATTTTATGATGTTTTTGTATCTGGTGGAATAAATCTCCATCCTTAATCATCCAGAAGAGTATAATGGCTATTTCTGGTCCCTTGAATTTCCATGGAAAATTTCAAATTAGCTCATCAATTTTAAGAAAAGCTACTGGATTTTAGCTGGAATTACATTGGATGGATAAACCAGTCTGGGAAGAATAGGTGTTTTTATAATATTGTGCCTTCCAGACCACAAACATAGTATTTCTTTCCCTTTATTTAGGTCTTCTTTGATATCTGAATTTTACAACTTAAACATCTTTGTTAGGTTTGTTTCTAGGTTGTTGATTATTTTTTTAAAAAATGCTACCACAGCAGTTCAAAGCCACCAGATACTCCACTGGAGAAGGAGCTACCAATCGGATCTGATTCAAAGACACACAAGAAGAAAAAAATGCTGCCACAAATGGTCTTTGTTAGGGAGTCTGGTTGCCTAGAGGCAAGAAGCTGCACTGCAATTCCAGAAGCACTGGCTTCAAGGCCACCGGCTGCTCCGTGGGAGAAGAATGGGCACTCTCTTCCTGTGCAATTCACTGCCTCTGAAAACCCGCCAGAGATCAGCAATGGGTCGGTTCCAACTCTCTGGTACACAACAGCAATTTGTGGTTGTTGTTGTTGCTGTTAATATCCTCCCCTCCCCTAGTTTATGCTGAAACAAGCCCAGGATATATTATTCCTTCCTTCAATGTGCTTAAATCTCCCCCCCCCCCCCGTCCCTTTTGCAATTTATTCTGTTGTACTGTCATTCTCAAGTCTGGATTTTTTAAATTGTACCCCTGTGGTGTCTTCAGTATGACCCTCACTGACCATTGTATTTTTAAAAAATATGTAATTACACACCGAGACCTAATAAAATTCAGGTTCTTTACTTTCTTGGAATACTTTATAGGATTTTTATGAACGGCCTCTTTCATAATTTTTTATTTTCTCACTGTTGCTAGTAAACAGAAATACACTTATTTTTGTATATTGATTTTACATCCGTAATCTCTTATTAATTATATTTTATTCCTCTGAATTTCTTCAGACAAAACCATAAAAATTGTCATTCAGAATTGTCTCCAGAAAGTAGTGTTAGTTGTAGGGTTTTTGTTTTGTTTTTTCTTGTTGTGTACCGTCAAGTTGAATCCGACTGGCACAGGAGAGAACTGCCCCTATTTCTCCAGAACAGCATCTGGTAGATTTGAACCACATGACTTAGGGATTGCAGTGCAGCTTCTTACCACTAGGCCACCAGAGCTCCCAGTTGTAGGTTTGCTACAGATATCCTCTATTATGCTAAGGAAATTTCTTGCCATCAATAGTTTGTGAGAGTTACTTATGAGTGGAAGTCAGAGTTTATCAGATGCTTTTTTGGTATCAATTTATAGGTGTTCCTGGATGGAGAAAATGGTTAAGTGCTCAACAATGAGCTGAAGGGTTAGTAGTTCAAATCCACTTACATACAAGTACTGTGAAAGGCAGGCCTGGTGATCTGCTTCTAAAAGGTTAAAATCCATTTGATGACAACTAACAATGCTGATATGGCCATGTGGGTTTTCTCCTTTAATTTCTTAATATGGTAGATTATGTTGATTGACTTTCTAAAGTTAATCCAGTACAAAACTAATTGGCCATAGTGTATTTTATATGTTGTTATTGTTAAGTGCCGTCGAGTCGCAGGCATATTTTATATATAGCTAAAGATTAAACTCTCTATATATATATATTTCCAAATATGTATATGACATATAATATCTAAATATCTATATCTATCTATATATTAATTTAACTAACATTTCGTTGTTATTAATATCTATGCTTATGATGGCTACTAATCTGTAGCTTCCTTTTCTTGAAAGGTATCTGAGTATCCAGGTAATGCTGGAAAAAGTGAGTTTGAAAGTGTTTTTACCTATTTCCTTAAGGTGATTAAAAAAATTTTTTTATACTAGTTTATTTACAAAATTTCAGTACATTGTTTTTCACACCAGATCCTTCCCACCAGATCCTTCCATTTGCTTCACTCCTCATCCATCAAACTGTACGACCCCATGATTAATACGCCTCCACACCTCCTCAGCCTCCCTTCCTTGGATTCTCATACTCATTCTACAATAATGGTGTTTTTTTTTTATTTAGGTTGTTTATTTTTCATTTCAATGAACATCTACAGAGATTTTGGAATTCCATTCATTCATTGTTGCACCCTTCTCCCCGCACAAACCCCTC